TCTAGCCGAACAAGCGACATTGGTATGGAAAGAGGGGTGAACTTCCTGTTAAATGCTCTCCCGCAGTGCTCTATGATAAGACCGTAAGGACTTCTGGGAGCACCTAAATACATACAAAAAAAAAACTAATATGTATATAAATCAGTATACATCTGGTTTGCAGTCTGGCTGAAAAGAACCATCGTTTAGGTTAAGCTTTAAATCGAGAGTTAACTATTTTCAAATTACTTTTAATAGAGATTTTTTATCATAAAACTACGAGATTTAATGCAAAATAAAAATCCCAACTTATTTGCAAACCTCTACGCCATCAAAGGCCCCCATAGTGACATCGAATAATCCTCCCTTTTTCTCAATCCAACGAGTTCCACTGCTAAATAATAATGATTTTCTTGCATGGTGTATGAAACTCTTTTGTTCACTATTTATTGTTAAATGTTGTTTTGTAAAAGTTATTGCATTTTTTAGTAAGTTTTCATTAATCAATGGATAAAAATTAATAATATCAAAGACTGAGAACTTACAGAATTGCTTTTCTTTTATGGTTTGAAACCAATGTATAACAATTTGAGTGTTTTGCTATTGGTTCAAAAATAGTTTCTTTCTTGGCTCGGAATTATTTTTGTATAAAATAGATTTTGAAATTCTACCAATCTCATTTTTAGCAGGATTAATAAGTCTAACAGTTGGTTCATCGAGGCAGTTCTCTTTATGGTCTTTTAGAGTTATGAAACAATCTGCAGTACCGTTAATTTCAATTTTATTGTATACATCATGGTTAATTAAGATTTTTGTACCTTGTTTATTTATTTGATCTTTGAGTTTAGGGTCAGCCTTTTTATACGCGGAAATAATTGCATTATTAAAGAGTGGTTGTGTTGATCTTTGGATAGTTTGTACATGTTTGATGTTTTGTCGGCTAGAGTTAAAGTTTTTTTCGAGTTTGGATAGATTTTATATCGTTTGCTATTTTACGATGAAAAACATTGTTGATTTTCCGAAATTTGACGGTTTTAACAAGATTTATTAAATTATTTTCGAAAGAACACATTTTCTAAATTTGCGGAGGAAATTTAAAAGAGTTAATACCGTAGTTTACGTAATCGGGAGAATCTTTTTTACTCGATTGTTTTTTAGTAAAAAAATAGCGCTTTCCACCTCATTTCTTTTTATAAGCGTCTCGGTCTTTGACTAGTAATTGTAAAATAAATTCTTTCTCTGATGGTATTGAGAAATTTTTAATTGAGTATTGAAAGTTTAATTTCGCTATCTTGTGAATTAATTCGAGTAGAGTGCTCGACTGGTGGAGGGTTTATATCGTTTGATATAGTGTTGTATTAAAATAGTACAAAACTCTTGTTCGTTGAAAAGTGCTCCATATTTAGGAAATTTATTTTGATTATATATAAATTTTAAAATAATTAGATAGAATAATAGAACTTGTTTTGTTTTTTATTTGTTTGTACTATTATGGTGTCTCTCCATTGACTAGTTTTTAACTACAAATTATAATTAAATTTTTAGATTTTAATTTATTGATTAAATAAATGGATTTTTTAAAAAAATGGACTTTTATTATATATATAAAACTCACATCACTTCAATGTAGTTATGTATTGTGACTAAAGAGTAGCCTAGCAACAGCTTACAAAAATTTTATTTTGAAAAAATAACTTTTAATCTTGAAAAAAAAAATTAAAAAAGATATTAAGAAACATTCTAAAAAAGATAAAAACTCACCAATATGAAAAAGTAAAAAACAATAAACTTCTACGCTCAAAAGTTTTTAAAAATGTATTGGAAAACAATAAACAAACTAAAGCATTGCTATATTTAAATTTTATTCATTTTTAGAGGTTCTTTATTTTATGTGAATCATTGCATCATGTACTGGAACTTACTTCCAGTACATGATGCAATAATTTCCTTTTAATAAACGGCTAAATGCATATTTAATAGCCAAAAATTAGAAAAGGTAGCTCGTTGCCAATGAGAAATTTTTTATATTCGGTATCCGCAGCCATTTTTACACGACTTTGTATAAATATTTAATTAGTACTTGATATTTTTAAAATTTTTTTAATAGGAAATGGACTAAAACATGATTTATAACTTTCAACGAGGAAGATGTAATGCAGAGCTGGATTATGGAGGAGGAGGGGCTATAGCCCCGGACCCCGCAATTTTAGGGGACTCAAAATAGTTTTGAGGACCCCATTTTCTTATAGTCTCTTTTTAAGCTGTTTCACACAATAAAGGCCTTCAAAAAAAATAGCCCGGGCCCCGAAAAGTCTTAATCCGCCACTGATATAATGTAATACAATTTGGTGGAAACAAAAAAAATTATAGCAGTGAACTAAACGAACATAAAATGGAAACAACTGAAAAAAAAAAAAACTTGGGTGTAATTTTTACAAAAGACCTGAAATGGTAGGAACATATTGCAACTATAATGATTAAAGCAAATTGTTATTAGGACTCATAAAGGAAACGTTCAAAAGTAATAAATAAGAATAATAAAATTGCTTTTTGCTAAGTAAGGCCTAGAATTTTTTTTTTGCCAGCTAAGATCTGAAAAAAAAAAAGTCCTCGTCAGCAAACATTTTCCGACTGCCAACTTTAGATCCTATTTTGCCGACTCCAGGGTCTAATTTGCCGACTGATAAATTTAGTGGGACGCCTCTGTGAATTAATCTAAAGTGCCTGTCTGCCGTCCGTAATTAAAAGATGATCTTAAAAACTAAAAAAAGCATACAAAGAAAAGCAACAAACATTTTCTGAAAAAATAAAATTTAGTTGTTTGATTGCTAGGGAAGGACGCTCATTAGGACGCTTTTTAAAAAAGATACCACAGATTTTATACTGTATGACAAAAAGTTTAAATATTTGTTGAAAAAGATATTTAAGTTATTACTTCTTTAAGAAAAAGCATAGTCCAGCTGGTTTAAATAAAATATGGTTGCTTTTTTTTCTTAAAAACGAAGCTAATCATTGTCCAAAACTACCCAACACGAGGGGGTAGCTTTTAGCAACATTGGGGCTGTTTACCAGATGTAATAAAAAGACAATAAATGTTTCATAAAGTTTTATTTTTTTTATTGAGCAGTAGCTATAAACAGTAATAAGTGATTATAGTACTTATAAACAACAGCAGAATGAAATTTATTATTACTAATAACAGAGTTATTTAATTCTTATAAAGAAATTTATTTAATTCTTATCAAGATTTCCAACCATCAAACAAATTTTTTGTATATTATATTTAAACAAACTAAAATGAATTTTTAAATTTACTTTGTTTATATATCTTTTACATTTCGTTTTACAGTTGCGCACCATTTTTAAAATTTGGTTAATCTTTTAATTTTTATTAATTTAATTTGAAGCTAGCAAACATACTTTGGTCAAACGTTAGAACAATGTTGCGAGTTGCGTTGGCACAACATCGGTCGCCAACGTTATTTTATATCATTTTGGTTAAAAATGCTGCGTCTCTAACAACAAAAACCCAACGTCGGCACAATGTTCTATTTTAAGTTAGCGAAGTGTAATATTTTATAATGGTTTAACGTTATATTTTTTAGTTGGCACAACTTTTAACGTTTATTTAAACTTTTATTTAACGTTTATTTAACGATGCATTTAATGTGTATCGGAAATAAATTGTTATCATTTTTTTTTAATTTTCATATTTAAACTAGGAAAAAGTCAAAAACGACAAAAGCTATAAAGCGACTTGTATACAATTACATTTATTAATCAAATTAAACCTAACCGCTAACCACTACGCTACGGCTGATCTTAGTATTGGTTGTTTTGTTTTTGCTGTTCATTACAGATTGCCGTGCTTCTAGTAAATTTGGCATATCTGTTACATTGAATTTTTTAACACGAAAAATTTAATGCTTTAGTTAATAACACAGAAATCGAGTTTTAAGACAGATAGAGAACGAGAGATCAAACACTATGCTTGGTTTTAAATGTTTCTTTTAAATAAAGTTAAACTCAATTATAAAAATTAGGATAAATATATATAAAAAAATTTATTAACAAAATTTATATTACAAAGTTTATAAATGATATTACCTTCATCTCAGAACGGTATTTGTATAATATTTAATTGCTTTATGCTATTGTAGAATGTAAGCAGTTTAGCAATTACTATTTGCTTCTTTATGTATTGAAACTTGTATAAAACAATGCGATTAACTACCTCCTAGTTTATATATTTACGTCTTTATAATAAAATATTTGCAAATTACGATTCTTTAAAAACTATCGATGATAAGACATGTCTTCTTGCTCCAGTTATTTATTTTATTGTATATATATGTATATGAAATTGGTATTTATAGTAAAAGGCGAAATAATAATAAAAAAAACCCCGCGTTTCAACTTGTTGCCTTCAAGACCCCCTCTAAGCTTTTGAACCTTTTTGGGTAACCCTTTTTCTGTACTTAGTACTTGGACTCGTACTTTACGAAAGATCTCTAACCTAACCTAAGAACTTTTCATTAATATGTTTAAGAAATAATTTGTTAGTAATTTGTAGCAGTCTTACTTCAGAAATTTGATTTTTTTTCTTAAACTTTCAGCAACTGTCATTGATTTCTTTATCAACTTTAATTTAAAAAATTAATAATAATTAGCTTTATAAAGATTTTGTAAATTTGTAAACGAACAAACAAAAAGACAAAGTTAGGTAAAAGAAAAAATGATAAAGAAAAAAAAAAAAAAAATTAAAGTAAACTAACTATTTGAATACGCAATATTGCTTGCCAGTTGAATAATAAGGTCTTCAAATCAAGCAAATTTAATTTTTTCAGTTAAAAAAATTAAAATTGAAGAGTTCAAACGGTTGATAAAACAAAAAAACGCAAAGGAAAATTACCTCGATACTTGGATCTACCATAGGTTTAAAACTTTACAAAAAATTTGAAACTTGACGCTATCATTTTTTAAGAGTTAACGAGGTAAAAAAATTAGCAAGAGAAACCAGATAAATCTTTAAGAAAATTTAATTGGGTATAATATGCAATTCAAATACATTGGTTTTAATTTTTCGTTTTGGTTATTTTTATCGCATGGTCTTATTCACATTACGAAACAATTGTTATTAGATATAGGTTATTTTAATGAATTTAAATCTCAACATGGAAAACATTCATAAAATGTAAAACAATTTTGCATTGAAACACTTCGGATCCGCAAAAAATGCGAATGACATTTCAATTTTAAAAATGATGACTAAAAAACGAAAATTCAATCTATGCTACTTTGTACGTTTTAACGGAGGTTCATCGTTGCGGACTAACGTTTGAGACAAAATTGATTCTGATAAATCGACAGATCTGCTTTGAGCGTGTGGCGGAGACGCGCTTCCCTCGTCGTTAGAACTTTCCCCATCGTCATCGTCATCGTTGAAGCTATGAAGCATTGAATTGTTAACACATTCTGCCATTACAGACAACGGCGACTTTCCAGTATGAGCGGCAACCTTGTTCTCTATTAAATAAAACATGTATTCATCGTAAAGAAGCCGAATAAGATGAAAAGATCCAAAGCTTGCGGCACTACGAAGAGTAAGATCGCGAATGATCATAGATGAGTAAAAAGACCAATTTAAAAGAAATTGTCTCGCTGCTTTTGGATAAGAGTCGCGGCCTTGGTGTTGTTCAAGTACCATGCTAACAACTGATTCCAACCATTGAGCCCATTCCTCAAGTGATTGCTAAAAAAAATATTAGCACATAACATAAAAACACAGATATATATAAAAAAAAATATATATATATATATATATATATATATATATATATATATATAAATATGTATATATATATAAACACACACAGATATATATATATATATATATATATATATATATATATATATATATATATATATATATATATATATATATATATATATATATATATATATATATATATATATATATATATATATATATATATATATATATATACACACACATATAAATAGATGAATTTTTAAATTTTCATAGTTAAAACCTGTTGAGAAAGTGTTCGTTTAAAATCTTCTTCAAGTTTCTGAATGAGAGCTTCGTCGCATTGACATACCCAAGAAGATTGTTCTTGAACATTATTAAAGTCAACTTTATTTAGATCAGACCACATCTGATTAATTTGCTGGGGATTTTGCAATACTGCTCGAGCAGCTTGTGCCAAGTGATTTAATGATGTGTACCTACGTAGCGTTTGCGAAAACGCACTTGCGGCAGCAACCTGAAAAGAACTCTTATTTAAAAATGATCAACATATAAAATATATTCTAATAAAGTCAAAACTTCGAAAATAAAACCTTTATGTTAACAATTTCTTTTGGCATTTCTGACATACTACCAATAAGCATATTTTCAAGACTTTTCGCAAAGTTTCTGATTGCCTGAGTCAATGTGCTTGGAACTGCACGAAGCACATCGGGAACCAACAATGTAACCAGCTTCTGATATAGAAGATAATCTGTCTCCTTAATAAACTCTTGCATTGGCTTATATTTGCACAAAACTATAAGCATAGTCTTTGATATGCTGTAGTCATGTGATTCTAGAGTACCGTTATCAGTTTTATCAGCTGCAGCTGGACTTCTGTAAAAAGCTTGCCACAAAGCTTCGACTAAATCAAACTGCAGATTAGAAATGACTTCAAGAAGTGCCTAGGGATTTCAGAGTAAAAAAAATTATTTTCTCAAATATATATATATATATATATATATATATATATATATATATATATATATATATATATATATATATATATATATATATATATATATATATATATATATATATATATATATATATATATATGTATATGTATATATATATATATATATATATATATATATATATATATATATATATATATATATATATATATATATATATATATATATATATATATATATATATATATAAGTCTTACCTCGCAATGGCTTCTATAATAATTACCAAACGACGTTACGTCTAGTTTTGAGACACCCTCAGGAAGAGACTCTGTAAGATCAATAGCAGGAACCTCAGGTAATCCCTCAGAAGTATCACCAAGGTATTGTTGGTACGATGCTGCTGTCATTCCTTCATTATTTGTAGATGTTGCTTCAACACGTGCTCCTGTTTGATCATAAGATGCACTACCAATAGTTCTAAAGCAAAATAATAAATTATATATATATATATATATATATATATATATATATATATATATATATATATATATATATATATATATATATATATATAAACAAGAATATAACCTCTTAGATGCTACGGGCTGAGCACGTAAAGCAACTTGCGTGTCATCTGTCAACCGAGACAACGGCGAATTGGGTTTTACTCGTATACCGTAGTAATGGTACTTTGAGTTTCCTCTGAAAAAAAAAAAATTGTAAATAACACTAACTTAAAGTTCTTGAAAACAGTATTATTTTTATGGAAGCATTCTTTAAACTTTTGGATTTTAAATTAAAAATGTAAAATAGCTATTTTACCTTGTTCCAAGCCTTCTAGTTTTTAAACCAAGGAAAACTGATCGTATTAGTTTTCCAAAGCTTGCTGCATTAACGGCATCAATTTTGCTTTCAGAACAATGCCTTAAATAGTGACTATATAAAGTACTGCGTGGCAGACTGACACCATCAGCTGTTTCATAGTTTTCTATTAACCACTGTACCTAAAAAATAAAAATGTCCATATAACGTTCTATATATTAAAACCATGTTGGTGAGTGCGAATAGCATTAAAAATATCTTTATCTTTTCTTTCTTCAAGCACCATTTTAAAATTATTCCGAAATCGTATTTATAAACTAAAATTATAATTAACCGGTCTTTTTTTTTATATCACTTCTGAATAATTAACAAGTAAAATACATTGAGAGAGATAAGTATTCAAAAGTTTTTTAAAATAAGCATATTTATATTCTCCCGCAAATCGGAATCCTGTAAGTTAAAAATTTATAAAGCTAACGTTTTTTATAAAAATTTATAAAGCTAACGTTTTTTATAAAAATTTATAAAGCTAACGTTTTTTATAAAAAAAAAAACGATCCTAATAAAAGCTAAAAAAAAAAAAGAAATAACTTGTGAAAACTTGTCAAAAGAAATAACTTGTGAAAACAAAAAAAAAATACCGAATAGTTTTTTTTAAAAAAGGACGAAATTTTTTTGTAGTCAAGTTAATAAAGAAATATTAGTTTACATAGCTGTAAGTAAACATGTGTGTGAGTATATATATATATATATATATATATATATATATATATATATATATATATATATATATATATATATATATATATATATAATTTAAAACATACAGTCATAGGTGAGGCTCGTGTAGTGTGTGAGATGGGCACTCTTTGATTTGCAGACTGTCCAGGTTGTAAATACTGAGCTTGATGTGCTACACCGATCGCTTGTGCACTAACACCAACAGACATTGAACCAGGGTGATTTTGTTGATTAGAATAACCTTGGTATAAGTGGTTATGAGAAACACCATGAGAACTTTCCATAAAAGTAGGCATATTTGAGGTTTGAGAGTAAATAGTGTTGTCGTGCGTGCTTCCATAATTAAAGCCACTTCCCCTAATAGATATTAAAAATTAGATCAAAATTTTACACATTAAATTAGGACTTTATCAGTACTTAATTAATACCTTTCCATATTTACTTCGACCATTTTATTACATATTATAAATTGTATTATTTTTTTTCTTTCGATAATTAAACGCGGTAATTAAATTTAATATTTAAACTCAGTTTAATACATTAAACCAAATATTATAATAAGGAAGTTGCACGCTAAATTGCAAGTGCGGCGAAAAACATTTATAAATAAAAACTGATATTAAAATACCCCACAAAGTAAAAAGCGCACAAACGTAAACAATGCTCAAACTTCAAAACGGTAAGATGCGTGACAATAAAAATCGCGTTTAAAATAGTTTCAAAACACAAATAGGTTGTATCCATGGTGATATAAGACGTTCGGTATTTAAATTGAAGCATTTACAAGTAACAAATGCAAGTTTCTATTATGATTTAAAAAAAATAATCGCAACATAAAAAATATTGGCTTAAAGATGAAATGAATTGTTGGCATTCGATTTAAAAATATTCTATTGTTGCTTACAAATAAAAAAAATTTATGAAAAACAAAACAAGATTAAAAAAGAAAGTATCAAGAAACGTAAATTATCGCGAGGCAGAATCTTAATATTATGATTTAAAAACTTGTCCGCGTATGTACCCAAGATGCTAAATTAATCTACCTACCGCTTCATACCTCCTGTAATAAATCCCCATGATGCATGTAATCCATTAACATTCGATGGAGGGCTGTTACGTGGAAATGCAGATTCACTTTTAATGTCCGCTGGCTTGCAATTTCCTTGATATTCTGCATTAGGAGACAAACGTTGTTGGTCGCTGCGATGAACATCAATGATGTCCGAGCGATAACCAAATAATCCATAATCATTTCTGAAATCATCTTCGTTGAGACTTGATTTAAAAGGAGGAATTCGTTCATACTCTAAATCTCTTTCAAACAGATCGCGTTCCCTACGGGATGCACTAATATATACAAAGCTTGGCGTCGACATGGGGTTGCTTAGACGAAGCGCTGCTAAGATGTATCGCAATTAAAACGTTTTTAAGATATGAAAACAAGTTACAGCTCTGGTTAATCTATTTTCAGGGGGAAAAATACTTGAAAAACGAGAAGACATAAGAGTAATAAAAAAGTAAAAAACCCCCGCCTAGAAATTGGTTATATAGAATTATTAATGAAAAGATTTCGATGGCAATTTATTCTAGCGGTAAAGTATAAATAATTTAGTTTATCTCGAATCGAAGTGAATATCAAAAGAGCAAAACTATAGTTACGCAAAAAACTCAATGAGTGAATCAGATATTATAAAAAAAATAATAATTAACTTAAAAAATAAAAATACGTTTATGTTTTAACTTGTCAATAATAACTTAAATGATTGAAGGCGTTTAAATATTTTAAATTTGTTTAAAGCTTGATTAACAAGATACGTCGAAGTTTTTATAGGTTAAATTTGTATTGTTAAACAAAAAACAAAACAATCAAGCAAAGATTATCTTTACTTCGTAGATAAAAACTTTACAAAAAAATAAAACGTCACTTTGAATTTTTGTAGGTTACAAAACATAAACTACCTAAACATATACGACGATAAAATATTACGGTTTTGAAACTATCTTATGTTCTTACCAATTATGGCCTGCGCCATTCTTTTCCTCTCTGCTTCTCTCTCCACTCAATCTTTGCAAATTAGAAATATACCCTGGATTCCCGTTTCGAGCCACAGGAGTACGATTTACAAAATCTCTATCTCGCAATTCAAAATTGACTAAACTAGAACCTTGTATCTGATCAGATTTATTGTCATTTTCATATCCATGATATACTAATTCTGGCATATTCCCAATAAAAGTTAAAAAAAAACAAACAATAAAAATAAAAGAATATAAAATCAACTTCGTAGCAACACGATGATCGCAACAAACTGAAGCAATTTAAAACATTCTATGTGCATCAAATTGAACATCCGGAATACGTACTTTGTTTCTTACAAAAACAATTTACTTCAAGTCGAAGTTTTTTACTCCTAATAAACTTCCATCCCTGATAAATAACAGCTCGATTCAATAAAAAGATAGAGGCTAATAAAATCTATTGTTTACATACAATGGATGTTAATTGTTATGGTGACAACGATTGATTATTTTACAACAAATTAGATACTAATCCGAAACAAACAGAAAATTTATACATAGATTTTTTATTATAAACATTTTCCGTTACCGTCTAATATAATAAAGTGATAAACCGCGAAAATCAACTATCACTAAGGAAATGATATTTGAATGAAATAGTTCCTAAAGATGTACTTTTCGTTAAAAAAAATAAAATAATATATATATATATATATATATATATATATATATATATATATATATATATATATATATATATATATATATATATATATATATATATATATATATGTTATTTAAGAAACTTGTCATGACTTAGCAACTATTCAATAAAAATACATACTTACATGTTTATGGGAGAGTTTTGATTCGCATAGGTTTGACTTTCACTATAACCTGGAACAAAAGGTTAAAAAATAAATTAGATATATTTGTTTCAAAATTTCTTGGAATTTTATATCGCATAAGATAACAGTTTTACGAATTGATCTATCTCTTTTTATTATAAATTCAATATATCTTAAGGTTTTAATTGTCTCTGTAAAAGTAGACTTAATGAAAAAAAATTTAAAAAAAAAAAACATTTGCCCATGTTATATTATGTAGAACTTTAAATACAAAAATTTAGAAAACTACTGTACTATATAACTACTATATACTAGCAAGTACTAACTCCTAAAAATGGTCACCCCAAAACAAATACTGTTTTTTCAAGTTATAATGCCCATAATGTGTAAAACAACTATTTCGGTGATATATGGGACTCACCATGTATTCAAGTGTCTTGGGAAAATGATTTGTTTGTGTGACTTTTTTTTATACTGTGTTATAGTATTTTTGTTTTTAAACATATTTTTTTTTATATCTGCTTAGTCTTTAAATTTTTTATATCTGCTTAGTCTTTAAATTTTTTATATCTGCTTAGTCTTTAAAAGTAAAACTAACAATTTTACTCAATTCTGCTACCATTTACATTTAACTCAATTTTACTCTTTTACATTTACATTTACTAAAGTATCATTTTTACATTTTTTGATAACAATTTTTATACAAAACAACTTTCTATTAATAAAGAAAATCTTCAGGTGAAATAGAAATATTGTACATTAACTTTTTTTGTTTTGTTACATTTGTGATGACATTTTATATCAACTTTGTTGTAAAAAGATTCTAAAAAAAATCAGATCAGATACCTGCAACATTAGAATTAAAACATGTGTATTCCACATGTTGCTTAAGCAGAAATAAACTTTTTTGTCATTAAAACTTCTAAAAATTTTTAACAAGAGTTGTAATAACAAGAAAAGAAAATCCACTAAAGTAATAGATCAGACTTTTATCAATCAATTAAAACTATCCATTTTATATTATTTGTTAAAAAAAAACACATCCAGTGGTTAGGTAAAATGAGTTCATTTGAAAATAATAACAAAAAAATCTTGAATTCTTGAAAAATTTTTGAATACATATTTGAATAACATGAAGATTTAAGGTTTAACAAAGTTATTTCCCTTTATTATTTTCATAAAATTTCCTAAAAAGCATAAGATTAGGCAAAGCAACCACACTTAATATAAAATAATTTTCAAAATAATTTACAAATATTTCAAATATTATACCCTTTTAATTCCATTTACTTGAATAGATCTAGATGGTTAAATACATTAAATGTGAAATTATTGTTCAAAGGAACAAGATAGGGAAACATAGGATGAGGATTAAATGTTTAAAAATTTGTGCTAAAAAGGATACTTCTGCTAAAAAAATTAATAGTACACCATTTTAAAAATAATTTTATATATAACAGTAAATTTTATATGCAATAGTACACCATTTTAAAAATAATTTTATATATAATAACATGAATATATTTTTTAAATTACATAATTATATATTTATAAATATTTTTATTTGGGACAGGTAAAGGGAGGAGTGCTCATGAAACTTGGATGGTAATCCTTGTATTGAAGTGTCACTAGAAAAATAATATGTCCTGATTTGTTAAACAGGGTTATGCTAGTACGGACTCCAGTAAGAACTTTTTTAAAAAAAGTTTAAACTTGAACAGGTTCGAACTATTAGGGGAAAAAGTTCGAACTAATATTTTGAATTTTATTTTAGTTGTGTTAAAATACACAAAAGTAATACAAGATATGCATACAAATATTTATTTGTTTATCATCATTAATAAGAACAAAAGTAAAAATATCAACGCAATCCTCTTAGTTAGCTTTAAAAAAATCATTTTTCAGGTACAAACAGTCCAAGACAAGAAAAAGATCTCTCAGTTTCTGCTGATACAGCAGGAATTGAATGAAGAGCTTTAAAAAGTAAATCTTGATATTTGGGCTTTTTTTACTTCAAAAACAGACATTTCTTTTTTAACAAACTTTATTTTAATTTCCTGATGGTCAAGTCTCATTTCAAAGTCTGATTGTTCAATAAAAAGTTTGAGCTAAATCAATTCAATTCAGCGGTGATACATTTTAGATTATCAGTTATACTATAAGTATTTACTTCCTTGCTGTTGTCAGAGCTATTGCCAGATGGCTGAAATAAATGCTGAATGAGATTAGTAGCAAGATAATCTTCCTTATTTTCAATCTTGTTGCCAAATTGATCATCTTTAAGACATTTAGATTTGAAAAGTACTTCATGAGGTAAAATAAACAAATGTTTCTTCATTTAATAATTCTATTTTTAAATACCTGTTTAACAAGTTAACTTATAGATGAATTAGCTTTATGAAGTTTTTTTCTTTTAAATTCAATCGCAATTTCAGAATACAAAATATCAGTCCAAATATAAATCAAATGAATAAAGCTTATCACTGATCAATTTAATGGCTTTTGTTGCTAGCATTGTACCTTGGATTCATAACACTTCAAGTGATAGGATACCTTCATTGTGATGTAGGTTTGAGTTCATATATCTTCTGTTTTTTACTGAAGTATACTCTTTAAAGGGATCCCAAACCTCTGAGACATGTTGTATTCATATTAAAGAGAATGATAAAAAATTTTTTTTGGCTAAATTTTCATTGATTTAAACAAAATAATAAATGCATAACAAGAAAAACTAACTTTTTTATTTTAGTCTAAGCTTGCTTTCTCTGTTATGTTGTAGGCCAAAACGCCAGCATAATATAGACAGCAATCTACAGACTTGATAATTTATTCAAGCGGGTTTTATTCCTAAAAGTATTAATACATGATATCATTGATTTTCTTGTTTGTTTATATAACCGATCTTTTACACAAACTAAAAAATAAACGACATGTACTGACACTTTTATGAATAAAACATGCTTGGATAAATTATCAAGTCTGTAGATTGCAGCGTACATTATGCTGACTTTTTGGCCTACAAAAAAACGGAGAAGGCAAGCTTCGACTAAAATAAAAAGGTTAGTTTTTCTTGGTATGCATTTATTCTTTTGTTTTAATCAAAAAAATCTAGCCCAAACATTTTTTTTATCTTTCTCTTTAACATGTTTGGGATCCTTTTGAATGTAAGACTAAATTTAAGTTTCATTTTCAAAGAACTTATAACTTGTTTCTTGACTAACCTTAAGTGTTTAATGACAAGAACGCGAATAGAGTGTGAAATCCAATGCCATCAGTAGCTTTTATCCAATTCAAAATTTCAGACAGAGTTTAGTGATCATCCCTAAAAGAACATTTAATTTCTTGTATTTTGGCAGCAGGAATGTTTCTTGCAGCCTCAGGTGCAGAGTTATTCTATTTAAGAACTTCAATTTTGAGTTTTGTTTTTAATGTATTGTAATAGCTGTTGCTGTTGAGCCATGTGTTTTATGAATAATTTTACAAAGTTTTCTCTTTGAATTCTGTAATTCTTTGGAATATTAAAAATTCAGTAATTTTAATAACCTTTTTTATGGGTATCACCATGGAATTTCTTAACAACTAAAAATATGTAATGCACAAAAATAATTTTATTTTCAAATTCTGCTTTCCTTTTCACAATATAAACTTAGAGTAACAAAAACTTTCTAAAAAAAAGCTTTTGGTTCAACAGTTAAAAAAACGATTACATAGAACCTAATTTTAATATATCATGTTTGAGCTTTTAGAGGAAAAAAGTTCAAACATAAACTTTTTTAAAAAATGGCAAAAGTTTGAACATTCGAACCAGAATATGTTCAAACTGGAAGCCCTAAATGCTAGGAAGAGATTACAGTTGTTAAAAAAATGCTAACACTTTCACAAAGTTATATTTAAATAAGAATAGACCATTATAAAAAACCCTTCTAAACAACACAAGTTTGAAAACTATGACAATTAAACTAAATAAAAAGAGTTAAAGTAAAATAAGAGTCACACTTCTTACTTTTTTTATCTGATAGTAATATCTAATGATATGGTTGCTTTTTAGTTGATGGTTAAATTTAAAGATATGGTTGCTTTTTTTTTATGATAGTTACATCCAAAAGTATGGTTGCCTTTTATCTGACACTTAAATCTTAAGATATGGTTGCTATTTACCAGAGAGTTAAATTTAAAGATATGCTTTTTTTAACAAGAGAAATAAATCATGTTTGGGTATACTATGAAACTATGAAATTAAATTCCTCTTTTTCAAAATTTCATTATAAAAAATCCTTTTTTCATAACTAAGCATATATAAACACAACTAATTTCTTATTTTTAATTATTTCCTATTAACAATTATTCAGTTTCCTATAAGCTACTAAACCTAAATAAATAATATTTTCAATTATTTTTATTATGAATAAAAATAAATAAAAAACTTCATGCCAAAATCAATTATAGTAAAATTCAAATTCACCTTGAACATTGTTCATTTTTTGCATTATAATAGTATTGCTCTTAGCATTAACATCTGACTTTGTGTGAGGTTGCATCAAGTTGCCACCATTAGCTGCAGAAAGATCTTTTGTTCTCAGAGAGTGAATGCTTAATGGTATAACATGACACTCATCTTTACCACTAGAAGAATTTTGAGGCACTTTAATAGTTACATATGCTTGCTGGCCATTACTTTTGCTTGTTTTGAGAATAAAATTTGCGCTAGAAGTAGTTGTTGTATGATCTAGTAAATGATGTTCTATATTTAATGATTGATGCAATGTATTATTTGAATGTTGCATTAAAGTTGAGGTATTGTTAGCTATGTTTTTTTTTTGAAGATTTACTTTTGTCAAACTAACTGGTGTAATAATCGATGAAGAAGATATATTCTGTGAATCATAATCAGTGAAATGAAAAGCAATTGGTTTTACATCATCCATTGAGTTTGAATTATTTTCGTTATCTATAAAGGTTTGTGAAAATGAACTCTCTTCCATTACAATGACCTAAACATAAACTAAGTTTGTGACAGTTAAAAATTAAAATTTAAACCACTTAAAAATTAAACGATAGGCATAATCAAATCAAGCAATTTCAAACTGAATTGAATATAAAAAAGTTTCACAAAATGTTTTTTTTTTTAACTATGGCAGATTAGAGGGTTTTATTTATTTAAGATGTGAGCAGCTGTTTTCAAGCTTTCAAGACAATTTTAATTTTTTTCAAGACAATTTAAATAGCACTTTTTTCGAGACAATTTTAATAAAAAAGATCATTATTTTTAAAACTATATATTTTGATTTCTTTAAGGCAAGTTTCCACTCATCAATTTTTTTACGGGAACAGGAAAGGGACGGGAAAAATAATCACGCTGGCATGCGTAGTATAAATTTTAATATGTCCGAAGGAAAACTACGCATGCTCACATGATCATTTTTCCCTTTCCTATCCTGTTCCCGTGAAAAAACGGATGAGTGGAAACTCACCTTTAAAGACCCAAGTCTTTAAAAAAACCAAAATAAATGAAAGTTTTAAAAAATATATATATCTAGCGCAATAAACTATTTTTTTTTGCATTAGTAATCTAAATCTAATAAAAGTGAAAAAAGGAAAGAAACGATAGTACAATTAAAATGTCAACAATGACAGCTACTATTTGCTTTGAGTTAAAATTATGACAAATGATATATATCAAGCAGGAAAAAAAAATGATAAAAGGAAACAGTAAATCATTTCAAGCTGATATGAGCTTAAATTTTTAAAAATTGTTCAAATCTTTGATAAAAAGTTATTTTCCTGATATTTTTGTTGGTATCTATATAAATTATAAAAAAAATCTTCCAAGATTTTTATTGAGAGAATTTTGAAGCTCAAAGATATTTCCTGATAAAGCAATTCTTGATAAACAGAGTATTTCTTGATAAACAGAATAAAATTAAAACCAATGTTTTATAATATAAACAGATGTGTGGGAAGCTTAGGAGTTATACTTACTTACGGTAAGTGTAACTGCAACCCTGGTTTAAAACTTTAAAGTAAAAACAGAATGGAAGCCAATAGTAGGCTTCTCAAGTATTTCAAGAAAGAGCTTTCAAGAAAAATCAACCAACACGTTAATCTAGAAGATTGTTTAAAAGATTTGGAAATAGTCATTAGTTGAAGAAAAATTAACTAAAGAGATATTGCAAAAACTGTTTATTTGGAGGACATTTACTCTAAAATTTTGACATGAACTATAATGTGATGATGGCTAGTAATTTTATGTAAAACTAGAAAATAACTTTTTTTGCATTTTTTGAATCGCTAAATGTTAAAACATTAAAAAAAAAAGATTTTAACCTATTTTTTTATCATTTTTATATATATAATAATAATAAAAAATTCTTGCTTTACCTTTTTCTCGACTTTTTTTCCAAAAAAATCGAGAAAAAGGTAAACCTTTTGTTGTTGCTAAGCAGTTTATGGAATGGGGTTTACCCAGGTCAACTGCTTACAATAAAATTGGAAAATTGGTAAATGGATCTCTAAAAAGAGAAGTTGGAAGTGGTCGAATTGCTAAGGTAGCTACTAAAGAAAATATTCCAAATATTAATGCATTTTTTGAAAATAAGTCAGGGTGCTTCCAAAATAAAATAGCTCTAGTTTTTAACTGCAGTCAAACTCAAATTTCCCAAAAATTAAAAACAATGACTAACATTCGAACTTTCAAAAAAACAAATCGTCCAGATCGTAGCCATCAGCAGAAGAAAGCTATGCATCCTAAATATCCTAAATTGTACGAAAATTATAAAAACTTGAATTTTGTTATGGATGATGAAAGCTATTTTACCTTAAACAATAGCACATTAGCTGGTAATGATAAATTTTATGCTGCTGATCCTTCTTAATGTTCTGACGAAGTGAGATTTGTATAAAAAGTACGAGGACAAGCTCTTAGTTTCTTGTTGCATCAGCCCCTGTGGAATAAGCCCTCTTTTTCTCTTATTCATCACAGTAAGCAGGCAATCAACCAGTACACTTATAAAGAGATGCTAGAAAAATTTTACTTTCTCAAAAATAAATTGAAATATTAAATAACAAAACTTGATAGTTCTTGAAATATTAATTTTTAAATTTTGTCCAAAATTTTATTTATGAGGTGTTATATATAAAAATCTTTTTAAACACTGATATGCAGTGCAGAGAGATTTTTTTTTCAAAATTTTCAAATATTTAACCTTGAATATAGTATCTCTTCTGGCCTGCTGCCAAAAAGAAGAGTTGCTACATCAATTAAGAGTATATATATAGATATATATATATATAAAACAATGGCACGCCGTCAGTATTGCTGCAATAAATGTGCTAAAATGTTTTTTGGCTACAACAAGTATGATAGTATATCTTTCATGCTTTTAGAGCACAGATTACCATCTTTTCATACAATTATCTCGAACTAAAGACATGCTTTTTGTAAACAGTTGAAGGCTTATTTCTTAGTGAATAATTCCATGCGTTCACTTAATCAAAGCTTAAAATAATATTTTTCTTGTAAAAACTATGGACCTGGCACCTAAATTGTATTTGCCTGTTGTCTGAAATATATTTATAATAATAATAATAATAATAATAATAATAATAATAATAATATATATATATATATATATATATATATATATATATATATATATATGTAAAGCTTAAAAAAAATAATGGAATCTGCAAATACTTAAAACACTTTATACGCCATACGTGAGGCAACATATGTGGTAAAGAACCCATTTAAAATTGGCTATGATGACCGCATAAAAACAAATATATCTAGCTGTCATAGTTTGTCATATTCTTTTAACCAACTCTGCTGATCATAGACTTAACTAAATAGGTAAAATCTTTATAATAGTTTTATAATGCTTTAAAAAACAAATTTTTAAGAAGAAATTATTAGTTTGGCAAAAATAATAGGGTAAACAAAGTGTTAGTAAAAATTCTTAAATCTAAATCATTTATTAGAGTTAAAGTGGTAATAGTTGTACAGTCTTTGTTCTTTCAAAGGTACAGTGTTTTTAATAGACAATCATAAAAAAACAGAAATCTATTTTACCTGCTTGTTTCAATATGCTTCCTAATCTTAGAAATGTCTATGAAAAATTTTTAAGCAATTAATATAAATCATAATGTAACTTATTTTATGTTATTATGTTCTTTTCCTAGTAACTTCACAAAATGTCAAGTTGTTTAATTATAATATCAAATATGCAAGTTTTCAAAAATCATACCATCATTAATAACTGAAAATCAGATTCTTGCTATAGTTGAAAAAAATGGTTTCCTAATTATAAATAATTCTTGCTATGGTTAAAAGATTCTTGCTATGGTTGAAAAAAATGGTTTTCTAATTATAAATGCTTTAGCTTAGAGTGAGTAAGTTTGATCACTTTATAAAGATCATTTGTACATGTAAATGTTTGTGTTTGATTTATTCAAATGTGTTTTAGTTATAATTGTGAAACAAACAGATTTTAATATAAACAGGATTATTTAAAGTAACAGTAATAAATTGAGACTAATGAAAAGTTATTGCAAAACAATAACATAACTTACACTATATATACTACATAGCTTAAACTGTTAAGTAAAGTATAGCAAACTATATATACAGTATATATGCAGCTGTTTAATATCATAGGACTTTTAAAAGTGTTTGATTGATCCCACTATAATAAATTAAATCTTTCTTAATTTTCATGGCTACAGATTTTATCTAAGGTAGGAAAGGGAGGGTAAGAAAGTAGGACAGAAGATTTAAATATTTCAAAAACTTTAATGAACAAAAATGGCCAAATTACATGAAATACAAATAATACTCCAGTCCTTTAAATTTTTTTTTTTATTATTGCATATATATTTATTTATATTATTAAAATAGCATTATGTATAAGAAACAATTTTATATTTATAGCAGTAAATAAAGTTCCAGGCTTTAATCAACTTAGAGATCAACATAATTTAAAAAAATTAAACTGAAAATATAACAAAAGCTTCTAAAAGAATTAAAAAAGGCTTTAATTTAAAATTTGTTTTAGATTATAAATATAATAATTTCTTGGTGCAAGACCTAGTTTTACCAATTGATTTTGCTTTGACCGGTTTACTAGAGAATTTTTATTAAAAATTCAAAATCAATAATAAAGCGTATAATGGTTTTTGGCGACATATACGAAATATACTGGCAATAATAAATAAAATTTTTGCTTTAAAAATATTGCTATAATTTAGAAAGATTACAATTGTAATTGTATCTTAAGATGGAGGGGAAAAAATGTGTTTAACTTAAATTCACTTTATTATTATTATTTTTTAAACGTAAAATGTAATATTTGCTTTTATTAGGCAGAGCTGAATTACAACATACCTATATAAAATGTGAATAAATGTTATCCTGGGGAAGGGATCGAATTTGTCGCCAAGTTACAAGTGCTGGTCACCAAGGTGAAAGTTCGCCTTTTCTCGAAACCAACAACAACAATGAAAATGGCGGCCTAACGAAATATAGCCCAACAATCCTTTGCGAAAATTACGTGTTGCACTAA